AGGATGCAGTCCTGTGCTATTCAATATAATAGTCCCTGGCCTCATGTGGCTGTTTAAATTTATATTAAGTAAAATTAAAAACCCAGCTCTTTCATCACAATAGCTATGTTTCAACACTTTACTAGCCACATGTAGATAATAGCTGCCATGTTGGAGAGCAGAGCTGGATAGCATTACCTTCTTCACAGAAGAGTATATTGAATCATGTTGGTCTGGAGCTTGAATTCAGCAGTCGTCATTATGTTAGACTGGAATGTATTATTAAAAACAATAGACCTGGTAAGATATCTCCTGTTTATTATTTATAAGTTCTTGTCTATAACTTTGCACACATTATCCTATTTGATCTTCATTAAAATCCTATGGAGTCAACACAATCACTGTCTTCATTTAACACTGGATACAAGTTACCCAGCAGTAATGAGAGCCTTGGAATGCAAGCATAGGGGTCTGGTACCAGGTCTTAACCACATTATGGTGGTGAATACAAAGAATAAATGTGAAGAATGTGAAAGAATCCTAAGGCTACATGAACTTTCAACAAAAGAATTTAGAAATGAAGAGCCTATATAACAGATTTAAGATCCGATGTTCAACAATGTGCATATAGTTCATTATACTGTATTATGCACTCAAATATTTGTTATGAGGATACATTTTAGCTTTTGTGACTTTCACCACAAGAAAAAAGCCAATCTACCTTTTCTTCTCAAAAATAAAACCTCTTCTACTTATTTCTAAAGAAAATCAATATTCATTCACTTTTACAAGATAAAAATAGTCAAACTATTTAATCTAATCTTCAATTATTCTTAACATTCTAGAAACAAGTTTCAAAGTTAATTAGATGGCCTTTAACATTTTCATATCTAATTAGGAAGTAAAAGTCTCTCTATATTTTATACGTTTGTCTTAACTTACTAATAACATTTATTGATAGTTTTGTTATATTTATGAGTGAATTATATTTTTAGTATACTAGGTAAAGTCCTATTTAAAACTAGCAAATGAAAATTCCATTCAACATCATAGCCTTTTAAGTCCACCAATACAGTATTTTCATAAGTACATCATCTGCCATTTAATAAAACAAATCAAAACTACTGAGACTTTTTCACTTTAAAATTATAAATCAATACTTTTCACCACCAGGGTAAGTGCAAGATTTCTCACAGTCCCCTGTTTTCCTTCCCCCGGCCACAAACCCCCACAACCAAGTCCAGGAATTGATCAGAATCAACTATGCAGGGACTGTCACCTTCCAAGGACAAAAGGAATTACAGGAATTAAGGAAGTTGGAGGAAACTGATGGTAGTTGGTAGGAGATGAGTTTTCAGGGTGAGTGAGAACTCCGTGCCGGGAAGCACCAACCCCTTTCTTGTCCGCCATAGTCCAGGCAGCAGGGCAAGAGGAGCCTCTGTCTGCTTTTCCTCGCCACGTGAAGAACTGTGACTTCTTCACACAACCGGGGGATGAGGAGCAACAATTCTGAAAGTCCTTGTGGCAGGTGCTGGCAGGATGAGGCCTAAGAGCAAACCCGATGTTTGTCCTTTGTTTCCATTCCTTATGCCACCAGCAGATAGACTGTTCTCTCATTGGAGGGGCCTATTGTGGGTTCAGGTTTCACATAGGAGCAATATTATTTAGACTTCTAGCTTTGAAAAGAAAAGTGTGTTCCCCTAACTACATACTCAGCTTAAGGACACATCACAGTTTGGGTTTCCTAGATAATACTAAAGGCTTAGTTTACTTCTTTGGTATAATTCTGAAGGTCAGAGTGGATATACCAAGGATAGAATCAGGAATTCTGGGGTACTTTGCTCAAGATCAAAATCATATTCTTCTTCTTTAATATAACTCCAGAATTGTGTGACAGAATAGAAAAGTCACACCAGACTCAATTATGCAGCAGTTCATATCCTATTCCCCTCATGTGGCAAGAGGTGCTTGACTAAAACCATTTCAGTCACTTTGGAATGCCATACTTTAACATAGAAAATTCAGAATAAAACGTCAATATGCAAGGGTGTTATCATTACAACGAATATAAAATGGAGGTCAATGTTTGGTATTAAACAGTTGCCCATTTATGATGCCAGAAATCTATTTTAATACATCAGGGTGAGTTTATTAATAGGGAGGGTTAGCCAGGCCTATGTGACCCAGGGGTTGAGCATCAACCTATGAACCAGGAGGTCACAGTTCAATTCACAGACAGAACACATGCCTGGTTGCCGGCTTGATCCTCAGTAGGGAGGATGCAGGAAGCAGCCAATCAACGATTCTCTCTCATCATTGATATTTCTATCTCTCTCTCCCTCTCCCTTCCTCTCTGAAATCAATGAAAAAATGTGTTTTTAAAAAATGGGGGAAATTAAATCACAATTACTTTGGAAACTGATGACCTTTAATAGATATTTCAAAGACTAATCGTAGGTTTTAGGAAGTGTTATGGGAAACGATAAAGGGTATGTGGATGAAGTTTGAGATATGAGTTAGAGGTGAATAATTAATAAATGAGATCTGTCTAGCCTTCATAGGTATTGCTGTCCAAAGTAGAAGTGTAAGAGTGAGGAAATACTGGATTCTGTGTTGGAAGTTTGCAATAGATGAGATTCATTTTACTCTTGATCTTCCGGGGAGACATTTATATGGTTTTGTTTGATCATATGCACACACTTACATGCATACACACATTATCATTTCCAAATGAAATTTTGTGTTTGAATACCAAATAAAATTTTCTACTGGATAAAAAATAACAACCGAGTATGAATATACGCAGTAATCACAGGAAAGAAAGTCCTTTAATGGACCTAGAGCCAGATCATGCCTCAGGGATCTGATGTTAGAAGTGATCTAGTTGAACCACTTTATTCCATAGATGAGATTTATGATTTAGGGAAGTATATCGCCTGTCAAAAATTCCTACAGACATTGGTTGCTCTTCAAGCCTGGGTGGTTTGGGACACTTTAAAGCAGAATCTCAGGACAATGTAAGAAAAAGGAGTGAGTGATTGTTTTGTTCTAGAAATAAGAATTTGCAGAACTACTTAGTATGCGATTGTTGACAATAAATATTATTTTTATAACTAATTATTATAACTATGTTTTTAATTCAGAAAGTTACTGGTTTTAGATAGGACTTTACATGTATTTTGGTATATTTACATTTATATAGGAATTGTAAGCAAAGTAAAATAAATAGAAACCAACATAAAACAAATCTTCAATTTGATAGCCACCTGTATCAGAAGAAGATATTGGCATACTATTCTGCTTGCATAATCCTTAGACACTCTTTGATCCCAGAAATTAATGTAAGGTTCCCTGAATTAGGTCTATCTCTGACTTACAAATGTATCAGTAATTTCAAAGATGTATAGAAAAGATAATACAAATTATTTTGTTGATATCAACTTATAATTTTGTTTTACTTCTACATTAATATTCCTCCCAATTAAAAATAATTTTTTATAATTAATCATTACTGCATAAAGTTTTTGGTTCTTCCAAAAACCAATGTTATTGCAAATCACATGAAGCCTGATAGCATGTTCTTGGCCCTGCCTTTTAGGACATAGAAAACCATAACTTGTTTCATCTCAGATTCTACATGTTTCTCTATGATCCTCAAGCCAACAAGTTTATCTTGAACTTGAGTATTTTCTAGTGGATATTTAAAATATATTTTTGAAGTTTTTATAATCTTGGATTTTATGCCTTATACCTTAAGATGAATACGCATTAATTTGGTTGTGAGGTAGGATCCATCTTTTGTCCTAGCCTTTGCAGTAAGGTTTTCCTATGCTAAGCAGAAGTGATTGGGTAAGTTCCTAATTAACAATTTGATCTCTAGAGAGAAGAGTAAGAAACTCAAAAGACTTCAGCTGTATGCACCAAACTTAAATATACAGCTGCTTCCAGAGTTCAGGTACACCTAACTCCAAGTGATGATGGCATATATACATGAGTATGTTACTAAATTGATGGTTTTCTAGGGAATGGGATGACATTACAACAAAGCTTCCATATACTCAGTCAATGTGGAAAAGATGAGATCCGAACTTGAATTTAGCTTTTACATATGTAATAGTTGCTTTACATTGTTATCTCATTTATTACAGTACATCGTGGATACACATTTAATCACTACTCACAGTGATATTTTTGTAGTTAAACTTAGTAGCGTCTGAATGATTTTTTTTTGTTGTTTTCTTTAAAGTCTCCATCTATACATCTGGACAAAATATCCTAACTATATAGCCTGAGACCCAGTGAAAGGAGCAAAGTCAGTTTGAAGCCAAAATAAGTACTTAAATCATTCAACCATTTATCATTAGATGACACATATCACACCTCATATGGAGACAATAATTCGGACCTATCCCAGGAAATTGTGAGGACAAGCCTAAAGAATAGGACGGCATGCTTACACAATATGGAGCAGCCCCACAGACATATATATATATGAAACCAGACGAGTATGTCTACGTGTAGCCTTCAATTTCCAAGTCTTCCTGTCCTCTTCGATGATTGGCCTAAAATGTAGGCTCAGACTCAGAAAATAATAGAGCACTGTAGGGTAGCACAATTAGATTGTAAGTAGAACCACGTTCCGAATAGGAAGCAGATGCATCCTCGGAGAAAAACAAAAAGAATGTGAACTCTTGTCAGCAGCCAATGAATCAATCGCTTTCTTCTTACAAGGGTTATGTTAAAATTGTATCTACCCTAGTTGGCAAATACTAAATTTGAAGAGCCTGTGAGCTTAAATGGCATACTTTTAGACAATTCTAAGAGAAGCAGATTTTTTTTCCTCTAAAGAGACTAATAATTATTTTGCAAATATGCTGCTGGGCTTGAAACAAAATGTTTTTGGTTTTTTTTTTCTCGAGAGCTGGTTCCAGGCAGTAACCCAAGTGCACTTAAAAGTAGCACCCCCCACCCCAGATAATTTTCATTTGGAGATTGCTAGAGGCTAATTTATATATATATATATCAAGATATAAATAAGGGCACTATTTTTAAGCACATTAACTTGTTTAATCTTGTATCCATTCTGTCCCAACGCAATAGTTAATGGTGGAGTTTTGTCATTGAAAAAATTGTAGCATCTTTTATCTGACTGAAAAAGAACCTGTTTCTAGTTTGATAATGTTTACCAATTGTTGAGAACTACAACTGTGTCCAGCACACCTTCTCCAAAATTGTCTGTCTTGTCAGAACATCCCTATGGGGAAGACATAGTTCTCTCGAAATTACAGATAGAAATACTGAGTCTTGGAAGTGAAGTGATTTGTTCAATGTGGTGATAGCTTATAAGGATTCAAACTCAATTCTATCTGACTCAACAGTCCATTGTGCATTTATGCGATGTGGCTCAACGATTTGTGTACTCTATTATTTTTAAGAAAAAACAAGTAATATATTCAATATATTAATCTTAAATATTTTTTCATAATTCTGAATTTTATGTGGAGTTAACCAGACATATTGCTTACAATGACATCCAGCAGAAATCATGTAAGAATAGTTCCTGTATTACTATTGAAAAGAATGCATGTGCTCATCTTTTGTCTACTTCCATATCTAAGTAGCTGAGTGCTTGGTTCCTTTATCTGCTTTAGTCAAATGCAGCTAGAACAGAAGCGCCTAGACATCTAAAAAGCTTCTTTTGTGCAAAGCAGCATTTCTGCGGAGCAGAGTCAAGCTCGTGGTCTGATACTTAGCGTGGGCTGGCGGGGGTGAGATTGTCTATGTGATACCATTTAGCTGAAGAGGTTTTCACTTCAGACAAAAATACGTATTTCTTAGGGTAAATGTGTCTCCATTAACAAATGCTTTACCATACTACTCAGCGATTCTGATTCCTCAAGGCTACTTATTAATTATAAGAAGGAAACTCAGACCTTACATTTTACCTAAGCAGAATTTATTTCTTGCATGAGCAAAAATTTACTTTAACCTCAAGCACAGAATAACATATTTGAAATATTCACCTGAGGGTCAGATTTTTGTCCCACTTCACATTCTTGCTATTTACCTACTGAACCTAAATGCTCAGATGTACATTAAACCATGTGCCATGAAATATAGAATCCTTTGATAAATATATTTTTTATAAAACTCAGATTTCATTTACTATAACTCCTAAATAGAAGATTATTGAAACTTCATCAGAAAATCAATGCTCTAACCCCACATGCACCACAAGGCCTGGGGTAGGTCACAGAATTCATCTATTTTGATTTTTTTCATAATTAGAAAAAGGTGGATGGAACCTCCTTCAAGCTGAAATCTATTAATTTTCTAATAAGATAATACAATTGAAATTCAGTGTGTATATGAGGCGACCATAAAGTACCGATGCAAGTTGGCATCTTTAATTTTTTCAACCTTGCTCCCTCTTTTTCTTCCTTTTGTGCCCAATGAAAATTTTTTCAATCTTGCTCCTTTCTTTCTTCTTAAATGCTTGTGTAAGTGGCCCCTTACTATGGCATAGTTCTAGAGCACCTGGAAGTATACAGTTGACTTTAAAAGTTGGGTTAGACTTCCTGATCCATTAGGGAAAAAAGTAAAATCTCTTCTGTAGAAAGCACTGTCTTTCTAAATTGTCTTCCTTTGCCACAAAGGCTCACGTGGTGTCTGGACCTGTCATGATGAATCTACTCATCCCCACACAGTGGATTCACAAGTTTCTTTCTGTTTCTCACAAAAAAAGTTATCCTAATAAGGTATTAGGTCAGACATCCTGGCTAATTTATCAAATGGATGATAAATCTAGGCCAAGCAGTATGTATTTATTCCAGCGCTTAACTTGAGAATAAAAGCAAGCGTCCCAACAAAGCTTTTAGAGGATGGCACTCACCCAGCCTTGTGAGGCCATGAAGGTAGCACAGTTTTATTTGCAACTTTGAGAAATAAAAGCCCTGCCTAATCATTTTCTCCTCGATAAGGAAAGTTGATGATTTGACAGTTATTCTGGCCTTTGAAAATGCGTCTCTATTCCCCCTTTTGTCAGTGAAATAACTATTCTTTTCCAAAACCCAATGGGTCCCCACAGCAAGGTCAGACGAAGCCCCTTTGCCAGCAAGAATGGAGGTGGGTCTCCATTCTTTTATCTCAGTCTTTCTCACCTCAACACTCCTGGTTTGACCAGACCTCTTCTCTGAAGGAAAATCCCAGCATCCTTAATTGAATCATCAGGAACACATATTTTAGCCCAAGTTTGAATTTGCTGATGTCAGGTGCACAAAGTCTGCGATTGTCCAAGCTGGTGCCTCCTAGAATAATGCTTTCTGCCTAATTTTGCCTTATTCTTTTTTTGCTATTCATTTATTTCTATTTTTTAAATTATGTTTTCATTTAAGGTTTTTCCAAATCCCATTTGGAGTTAGCAAATATATATATATATATTTGGCAAACATATTTGTGAATGTCATTTCACCCCGTAAGAAAATTAGAGAAAATTTATAATGGTGAATATCCAGAATTTTTTTAGTATCATAGAGTCTTAGTTCTATTAAATGTTAAGTTAATATATATGGAACTATTTTCACTGTTAACTCATATTCCTCTGATTTCTACAATTGTATTAGTCCCGTGACTAATATGCTACCATGTGGTTGTATGTAGTATATATGAATGCATGTAAGAAATATTTGACCAGGTGGGATAACTCCAGCTCTGCTTACTGTTCTCTAAACCCCTGCTATACTCATTTTGTCAGATGATTTTATTTCCAAAACCATTCTTATTTTCCTGAAGTGCCCTCAAATTGTCTCTATATCCTTGCCTATCACCCACCCATATGGTTTCTCAGATGTAAAGGAGACCCTGCTAAGAGTCACCTTTGCATGTAATAATCGTTGCTGAATTGTCTGATTCCCTATCAATTGCCTACATTCATTCTTGTATCCTCCATGTCCACTTGCTTCATTATCTTCTATCTGTCCTCCAGGTCAAGTCTCTGCTGCATAAGGACATAATCCTTCCTCACAACTTTCCATCTACCACTCTGCCGTGTCTCTCTCATTTTTCTCCACCTGTTTTAGTCTGTTAGGGCTGCTGTAACAAAACACCATAAACTGGGCGGCTTATCAGTGACAGAAATGTATTTCTCATGGTTCTGGAGGTGGGGCCATCAAAGAGGAAGAGGCCCACCTATACCATGTCTGCCCACGGTTGTCTTTTCTCTGAATTTGGGTTGGGGACAAACATTCAGATCATAGTACCACCTGTGACCTCCTCTTGCTTAATACACATGTATTTCTTTACTTCTCCCACAATCTAGCATCCCCCCGACACACACTTCATTGTATTTCACTAAAGCTTCCATTTCCAAACCCATTTCTCTCAGTCATGACACAATACATAGTGAAAGGTTTGAGACTGGTACTGAACTTTGATAAAAATTAACTTTTTCTTTGATACACTCAGTATATGCTAGAGCTAGGCCAACAACTCAGCATACCTCCCTAGGTGACTGAAGAAGCATTGGACCAGAAACATAGCAAAGTTCATTCTCTTGTTAACCCAAATTAGTTCAAATATGGCAGTGCTGACAATGGTCCAGGAAGATAGCAATGCACACAAAGCTATCCAGTGGTGGGCATGGATCTTTACTGTGACACCCACAGGTAGAATAAGGATAGATGCAGGCTGTGGTGGAGTTTGGATGGGTGCTGTGGAGGCACAGGGCATGTAGCATCAACTCCATCTGGATTGAGTGTGGGAGGAGGCAGGCCCAGGAGGAGCTGGGCCCAAGATGTCCATATTTCAAGATGCTTAGAAATGAGCCAGGTGAAATGTTACGAGAAAAGAGTGAGATATTCAGACAATTGCTTCTCTAACATGATTGTAAGCATGGGCACTAGAGTGTTCAACACTCCTCATTATCTCCCTGCTACTTCTAAGCACATTACATCCCTAAAAGGAGCATAGAGACCCCTGACAATGTGGTTTCAACCTGCCTTGTAGACACCCAGTCTCTACAAAATAAATTGCTCATCATTTTCTAGAGCAAAAGTATCCTTTCACATTGTGTTTTTTGCTTCCTGGTCTTCTTGTTATGTAAAATACCCTTTCCAATATGACACATTTTGAAAATATAGTTACCAATTCTTGCCTCTTTACCCCTTCTGGAGTAATTATTTCTGTACTACAATAAGCTTTCTTTATTTTTAAAGGACAAATCACACATTACTGAGTTCTGTGAACATCTGTTTCCATTAATTTTTACCTCACTAGCTTATTAGCATTTCATGGTGAAGGAACACATCTTAGTTTTGTGTGTGTGTGTGTGTTTGTTTTTTGTGTGTGCGTGTGTGTGTGTCCTTCACAACTTATAGAAACAGTGCTTTTAGCTTTTCAATGAATTGTGGACCAATATATAGTTCAAGCAACAAATGTTCCTAAGAAATACATTTCTGTTTTAGTTAAGAAAGCAATTCAAAAATCTGAGCCCTAGAATTCATGATTTTATAAAATTCTTAGTTACCTCATGATTAACATAGCACTATCCTGAAAACAAACTGAGGAAAGCTAGACTCACTACAAAACGCCAAGGGTTTGCAATGAATCTCAGTATAATTAACTCATATAATTTTTGCAACAGAATACAAAATGTGCCAGGGTGGAAAATAGTATCACTCTGGAAGGCAAAGTTCCATAATACTTGGGGAAATTTTGCTTTCTTTTGAGAGGCACCAGCATTTAAAGCAGAGAAGCAAAGGACAGAACATGACTTGATTTATATTCTACTCAGTACGTTGAGGAATAGATCCTTATGGTCATAGCTAAGAAATTTAAAAGTTTTGGGTATGGAAGTAATGTATTTTTAATCCTAGTCATTAATTTCATAGACAATATTTAATCTGTAAAATGTAGGAAGAAGCCCATATTTATACTTAGTGTTGCCACTGACCTCTTATAAACTCTTTTTATAAAACCTAAGAACTTCCAATAGCAGAAGTGGATTTTAATACATTTGTTATAGATTTTATAGGGGCATCAAAAGACTTCTCTTTGATTTTGTTTTCCCTTAAATGCTGACACTACGCCTGAGTGTCCACCATAAGCCAGGCAGTAAGTTTCTCTTAAAATGCTTCATATTTAAGAGACAATAGGAAAGTTAATAACATTTTCAAGTTAGAAATGTCACAACAGACATGTGTTTCCATTCATAAAGTATGTCATGAACACATACAAACTATCCTTTGTCATCTGGTTCTGCCCCATTTCAAAAATTATTCTCTGCTATTAATTAGAAGTGACTACAATTTGATTAATTTCAAACATGTGTCACATAGGAACAACGTGGAGAACTGAATTCAATATTTTTCCACTAAGAGTATACATAGTGTTCATTGAAAGAAGCCAAATATGTTTTTATAAACCAAAAGCTAGTATTATCACACTGAGAGTATTGTCAGTGTAACCCATTCCAGTTTATTTGAAATATTAAATTCACAGAAGAACTTAATTATAAAGCTTCTGAGACTGAAAATGCAAAACTAAGTGAACTTCTCTCTCGTTGTTTTCCACCTAAAACTCTTATTCTGGAATCTGTTTCTTTACCTGGAGAATGCACCTGATCTTGGTCCCTCTTTGGTTTTTTGATTTAACTCTGTTGGCCAAAGCTTCCCCAAACCTCCAAACTCACAGTAGACAAATCCACTTTGATTTAACTGAGAGAAAGGAAAGTTTCAATTAGCAAGGGGGAAATGTGTCTTTTGCTTAATTTGCATTATCATTATTATTATGGGATGTGTACTAAAACATTTCTTTCAAAGTGCTAATTAAATTTCTATGAATGCACCAAATCTCTAACCAGACTATAAAAGAAAAATCATATGATCAAGTAGTTGTGAGTTAAGAAACAATGATTCCATTTAGGTTTTTCTGTTCAACTTTCCAACAAAAAAAATGTTTTTCTTTCTTATTACACAGCCTGCAGTAATAAGTGAAATATAATCCTAATTAATTTTTCCTACAGCTGTGTATAAATCAATAGCTACAACATCTCAAAGGAAATGCACATTGCACCGTCCTCCAGGCTCCTAATGAATGCAAATAGAATGACCTTTTTCTGACAACTATGAATATTGTTTCACAATTTTACCATTAAAACCGCTGCTATCAGCAATTCATACAGCAAACAGGAAGCTACAATAGTTGTAAATAACTATTCATTATGGTAAGAAAGGAATGGAAAAACACTAAGTCTTCGTTATGCAACTTTGAAGCCTGGAGTCTGATTTTAATACTTCATTTTGATATGAACATTCTGTGTTAAAAGTAATCCCATCTTCATTTTAGTTCTCTATTTTGGAAGAAAAACAATTAAAATCATTCAGTTCTTTATGTAACTTAATTGAGAGGTTCGATACTGAATGGTTTTAGTAAATAAAGATTTCTCAGTCAGTACTGCTGCAAAGCCCTGAATACTACATTCAAATGTTAGAAGACTGTGGTTATAGTCCATGAAAAAATACCTGGAAAAAATATGCATAGAAAATCCTATTGTTGTACTTACCAAGACATAATGCTACTCGTGTGATGAACATGATGATGAATTTAGAAGCTTTCCAAAGAGAGAATGGCATAAGGATGACACCTATGGGAACCTGAGACAAGGGAGAGATTATGTCAACTGCATTATTGTCCATTTTGACTGAAGAACCACTTTATTCCATAATACAACATAACGGCATGTCCTCACACTCAATCCTGTTCTACTTTCCACAAAACGTCATCATAGCCATGAAGATGTCTCATTAAGTAAAAGTTAAATTCAAATTTTATAACAAAAGTAGTTAAGAAGTAAATAAAAGATGTAGTTAATTATGTCAAACCTAATTCTGCTGATCATAGATCTACATACTGAAAACTCCCATTGGAGTTCACTAGAGCCAAGAATATAATTAGCCAGTAGAATTCAAACACTCATTAAAAATAGGACTCCCCAAGTTGCAACCAGTTTTAAAAAGGGACTCACAACAAGAGGACGTCATTTCCATGAAATCCAAACATCATTCTTCTATCCCCTATTCTGCCATTAAATTTTATACCTCTATATAGGACCGGGGAAGACCATCACATGAGTATTTGACATACCAAATATTCATTAAAGACATGGATTTATGTAGAACATATTTATAGATATATGAATTGACTTTGGTAAGTAGTTGTTCCACCTTTTTGGCATAGCATCAACTTTCTATACTTTCAAATCTGAGAGTTATTTGAAACCCCCTTTAAACAATTTCTTGAAACAGTTAAGGAAGCATTTCTGTGACTGTGGCCATATCAGTCACAGAGAGCATTTTCTAACTGTGTGACACAGTCTCCACTCGATGACATCTCCTGAAGATGTCTGTTGCTTTCTTGCTGAAGATGAAGCCGTGCTACATCTCACTCAATATTGATCTCTGAGGCCTTTCTCCCAATCCTTTTCCCAGTGTGGTCACTGAACAGTATCCGAGTTCGATAGGAAGATCAGCTGCTCATCCACTTTTTGCCAAAGCAATTTGTATTATGGATTTATTTTAGCAGTCTACAGTGGCAGTTGCTGTTTTTACTATTTAAATGCTTTGATTATCTGACCTTGCTTACTTTATCTTTCTAAGTGCTATGCACGAGCTTTAACATTGATCAATACGTGGGGATTCCTCTACAGGATTACGTTGAAATCAATCTCAATTCAGACTTTTTTCTTTTTTATGTTTATTACTTGATCTGTCTTAATTGCATTCCTTATTTAGGTAAATAAGTTTAAACACATACTTTATTATACAGACGAGAATCTTCTAAGATCTACACATATTATAAAAATACCCTGTATTTTTTATGCATTATTTTATTCATTCCTATAATATGAAAAAGGAAAGGCTTAATTACTAGGTATTTTATTCAAACACCTTCGCATTATAAAGAAAAGACCTAGTCCATTAGAAGAAAAACAAAGTTATATATATTTAAATAACTGAAAAATCTTGACACACATTAATATGCTATATTGATTGTGATAACTGCGGAAGTTCAACAAGTGCTGGCTACACATATATTTTGCACACAAATGTGCTTGTAAGAATTTTTATAAAATAAATTAGCACTCCATAAAATAAAGTAGAATTCTAAATATGTGTATCTTTATAAATCAATAAAAAAACAAACTATAAACCTGTTGGCTATCATAAAAAATTAATATTCAATGTGTGTAATGAGAAAAGTTTATCAGTTTCACCCTCACTACTAAGACTGAATGTTTTACTCCACTTTTTTATTTTGGATTAAGATAAATAAATTAGAAATATGAAATGCTTTGAATACTTTTAAAATCAAATCTATGAATTTAAGAACCAATGATCTTAGAATAAAAATAAACTTCTAAAAGTCACTATTTAAGGCATAGGTTTATGGACTATGAATTATATAACCATTAAAACTTGTTGCTAGATTTCTTATCTGGTTTAATCATATATCATATCTTCTGGGGTGGTGTAGTCACATGAAGCTCCTGAATTTTATCTTTAAATCAATTGATTCTAACATTAGATTTTTCAAAGTCATAAATAAAATAAATGCAGGTGTGATTTTAATAAAAGGAATCGATGTCATTGTTTTTTAAAAATTTCCCATTTTCAAATCCAATCCAAGTCTAAATATATCTGTTACCAGCTCTAGAATAAAATTACAGTGAAATATTTTCCAGTTATGTATACTAGAATATAAGATCTACAGTTTGCTTCAGTGCCCAAAACATTCAAGCAGTAAAAAACTTGAGGTACATAAACATATGATTAAATACAGAATATTTGCAGTATGCTCACCTGTGCAAGTACATTTTTTACCTAGACAATTGTTTAAAACTCTCACAGGACTAGAGATATATCACATATATTTAATACATATACATATACATACATATTTACATTTTCATACTTTGAACTTATTGGCCAAAATTATTTAGTATTTAATACCTTTCATTTCAGACTATATTATAGATTATTATTACAATGATTTTCTCCTGCTCACATTGAATGATATAAAGTATAAATGAATAAAAACAGCCCATCACAAGATAATGCATTTTCATAGCTACCTGCATGAAGTGAGGGTAGGAAAATTAAGGTTCCTGAACATGAAAAAGAATGAGGAAAACATGAAGAAATTTAATTACCAAATAGTTTCCATAATGATATTTCCAAAACCTGTTATGAGCAGTTAGTTCCTTCCTACTGTTTGTGGTTGAATAGCATTTGAGAGAAATCCTTTTCCAGAAAGTTCTGCATCTCTGTAGATCACAACCCTGGCCAGACATGTCCATACTTTTTTCTCAAGTGGGTAAATGTTAAGAGAGAAGAATTCAAGTTTCATGATGCAGCAACACAAAGCTGGGAAGTGAAAATTATGTTGCCGCGGAGTCTTGAAAATATGACTGTAAAAGTTAATCAATAAAATGTCTATTCCTGTCTATTCACCGGAGGCCGCAGCTGCATAGCTTCGCTCAATCGATACTACAAATTATTACGATTTCCAGGTTCCCACTGGACATTCAGAACAAATCTTTCAAGTGTAACAGGCTTATACTGAGTATATGGCGTGTGTTCTCTACATTTAGTTCAAAAAGAGGAGGGGGAAAATTAAATCTCAAGCCTTCGTGTTCTTTAAAAATTGCACTTTATGGAACCAATAACTCATGGGTCATATTTTAATGTTAAAAACAATCTTGCTTTTGGTTGCCAGTTTTTTTGTGTGCTTCTTTTTTTAACTGTTTCTTTATTTAGTTAATACATGACTTAACCTAGATTTTACTGGCATAGGAACCTAGCTAGTTCTGAATGACTATTCCAAAGTAATGAATAAAGAAAATTATCCTGAGGTAATTACTTATCACAAAGTCACTTGGGCACAGAGATAAATGCAGGACCCTGGTGCACATCTCAGATTGTATCAGATCCCTTAAAATATATATGCATGTTATTATTTTTATGATTTAGTCCCACATTTTAAAAATCAGGTTTCAGATTTTTCATTTTCTTTTTTGTAAAATAAAAAATGTGTCATTCCAGAAATAATTTTTTTAAAAAAAGTCCCAGAACATTTTGTTCTAGTGAGATCCTCTGTTCTTGGCAGAAAAATGTGTGTAATTCTAGATTCTCAGCTCCAGAACCCCTCTGGCCTTTGAGCTTGACTTTATGCTCCATACATTTCCCTCTGCGTCCCTGCACCAAATTCCAAGCCTTTTCCAAATGAGGGTGCGGTGGGCTAGTGGGACTCACTACAGGGCTGCCATGTCTGTGACACCCGAAGTGCCTTTTCTTCCTTCTGAGTGATGCACACCATGGGGTCTGGCACTGCCCAGTACTGAATCAATTGGTAAATTTAATCAATTCATGCCACCTGTCGATTGAGTGGGGAGAAAATGTAAATACATAAACCAAGCTTTGGGTTGCCAGGCCAAAAGGCTTTGATTTTATTTCACATTTAAAGAGGGCTATATATTTTTCATGGTAAAACACATGTACCTAGTACCAGCATATTCTGTGACCAGGTATTTGAGGCTATATTTTAAAGGTGAAGCTGTTTCTCCTAAGACACCATCATTGCTTTGATAATAATCATGTATCCGTCTCTTTCAAATTCAATCATAACATTTTCTTATAACATGGCATAATAATACAGGGGTGAGCAAGAGGAGGTGTACAGTTGTGAGTATGCAAAACAGTTTATTCCGACATTATTATTGATTAATGATTATATTATTTATTTGTATTACAACTGTTAACATGCTTATGTCTACCCTGTACTTACAATTTTATGACCTGTAAGATATTTAATTGCTAAAAACCAATGTAAGTAGATTTTTTTGAGTCTGATACAATTTTAACTACTCTCTCGCATGATGGGTGTATGACTTGCTATCAATTTCACATTAAGAGAGAATATTCTACTTACTATCATGATCAAGCTTTATTGGAAAATAAAGCGCATGAATCTAGATCAAGCATAGAGAAACTGAGTTTGAGCTTTCATTGTAATCTAACTGGATGAGTCACTGGTTTATTTACTGATAAAATTTAAGGTTCAAAGCAGGTCATTACATGCCAGTTTTTACATCAAAGATGATATTTTCTGTGGGTATACAGAATAATATACCTTTCTAGCGATGTTTAACTGTAGGAAAAAATGATGGCCTTATTTTAATAACATTAAGTTAACATGAAACACTATCATTAGTTTTATATTAGTGTTCAAAACCATTTTTTATGTATTTTTTGTTCTCTAGATATACCTTAAACATTATTTTCTAATATAATTAAGCTTTTAAAAAAGACAGTAGTACTTTTAACAATACTGCAATACTGTAGCCATTCCAAAAGAAACGTGCCCAATATGCTTTTAATCCTTGGTACAAATTTCTACCTTTTAATATTTGTTAAAACTGGTCTTTTCGTTGTCTGAATTCTGGCAGCTGACTAAAGGAACATTAATTGCAAACAGAATGTATCTGAGCGCTTAATTTTATTTAGAAGCATGTAAAATGTCATCCTAGATTGTGTAATTATTTTAGTGCCTTATAATATTAAATCATTAGATCAAAACACAGAAATAAATTCCTCATGAACAATTTCAAATATTTTACTTTTAACATTACAAACTACAAATCACAAAAGAATTTTACTTATGTTCATCACACGTAATATTTTGAAATCCTATTGATAGATATATCAAAATACGCAGTAAGTAATGTAAGTTTAGAAGCTGGCTTCCAAAGATCAGTTAATATTAAATGCACATTTTAATTTTGGCCTCAGGATTGTGTTCAAAGAGATGAGTGACAGGGGGGAAAAGTTTAAATGGTGTGCTTTATTTAACTGTGATTACTCAATATAACCAAAGTTCAGTAAGTGTAATTTTTAATAAAGAGAGAGAGAGAGAGAGAGAGAGAAAGAGAAAGAGAAAGAAGCAGGGAGATTGATTCATCTGGGTTATGCTACTTTCATAATTATTTTTTAAAAAACAGATTAAAAATATCAAGCAAAAATCAGAGAGGATAGAGTACTTTATCAGAGCACTCAAAAATGAAACCATATTATGTTTATTTGAAAAGCAAATGATAAAATCTGAAAGCATCGGATCAGGTATAATAATTACATAAAGACTTAGATGAAAACAGGTTTAATACAAGGTGCTTCCCTAAGAACAGTTTTCAGGAACCTTTGAAAACAGCATAGATCTTTATTACTCTTCCTCATAGTTCCTTACGTGCCTCAATAGTCTGACCAAAAATTCTACTCTAAGTGTCTCTCAGTTTAATAGCGTCTTGTTTAGAGCTGCTACTTGAACAAAAAAGAAAGGCAACAAGAGCCATATGTAACCTTTGGACTCCAGAAATAGAAAGAGAAGACCACTGGCAGATAGAGGCTGCGGAGACCTGTATTCTTTCTCTTGCTCCTACCTGGAGCCTTTCTCGATAGTTAACAAGAAAGTTGACTGTCACCTCATTATTTAGAATCTGGAACACGACAGTTATAAGTTTCAACATGTGCCATTTCAGTTAAGAAACGTTGCAAATCTAAAGTTTATCTGTTTTGGAACCAACCACTCCTTGAACAAGCTAGCACATTTACACATAACCTTTTGCAAGCCACGGAGAGTTAAATATTTAGCCACTAAAGTCACAAGGACTGACTTGATTTCAGTACGTAAAGTAAAACTTTCTGAAATACTCAAAAACAACTCACTTGCAATCATTTTTTTCTTCTTCGGAGGCAATAATCCTTTCTGTCACTGTCTTCAGCTCTGCCTGGGGTTTCCTACTGTTCTGTTCTTGGCGAACTGTTTCTGCTATTTGCTCAGTTAGCTGCTCTTGAGTAGCTTTCAAGCTGGATTCCATTAGAAGAAGTTTTTCATCTTGACTGGCAAGTTCTTGGGCTGAAAGATAAAACAAGAACATTGCCTTTTAAAAAGCCAAGAGCATGTATTTTCCCCCCCTTTTGTTTTGGGGTTAAATTGTATGCAATGCAACTTTGATGAAGATTTAAACGGATCCTTCTTGTCAAAATACAAGCTCATGCATTCAATTTTCAGTTCCCTTCATTTAAAGCCCAAGTAAACAAAGGTATGTATGAAGGAATACAATATGCAGAGCAGTAATCTCAAGTTTATAAAACATTTAAATTCGACAATTAGATGTCTAATCAGACAACGTTGGGTGCGCTTATTTGTGAGACTTCTGCTCCTACATTTATAAAAGAATAATGTCAGTATATAGCATTCATGTTTTTTCTTTAGCATAGATCTCAGATATGTGTGTGTGTGTGTATACACACACATACACACATATATATATGTATGTACATATATATACACATATATATTCACATACACAAAGACTGATATGTTATAAATTATGTCAAAATGATGGCTTGCCACTGATTTACTTTCATGAGTAAATTTATGAAATCTAAGCTCTTTTACAAGGTCATCCAATAGGTGGCACTCTTTCATTAGACCAAAGAAGTCTTAGGCAGTATGCTTCAAGCTCTCAAAAAATAAGTGATTTAAGACAAAGACATTTTTCCTTTGTTCTTTGTTGACCGTATTTCTAGAGACATATATCTGTACATTTTGTTCGAATACTTCCCTTTTATAAAAGTGTTTATATGGGGGTTTTATGTATTGCCTCAAATATAGACCATCAAATGTGTTATCAGGTTTTTATTTTAGTTTTTAATCATATGTCTGGATATATATTTATACATATGATGGTATACAATGCTTTTTTTAAGGTAATTTGAAATTTAACTGGATGTATAATTGCATTGAATATAATGGTGTTTTATGAAAATCTGTCATTTTAATCTTGCAGTCTTAAATGAAGGGGAAAAAATACTTTTAGAATCCCCAGGCCCATATAAATAGAAATGGAGAAGGCTATATTTTTATAAAAAGATAATCTTCCCTGTTAATGATTCTCATTTCATGTCTAAAATATGGTGTTTATATTAAGTTTCAATAAAGTTGGAAACTAAGGTATTACCATCTTACATCAGAGATATCTTTTACCAGCAACCTCATAAAAAAGAGACTCTATATAAATATTCTGCATCTATCACTCACCTTTGAAGTTGAATGATGTCTCCTTTATAACTCAGATCTAAGAAAACCTGATTCTCAGTTTCTCATTTATAGATTCTGAGCAACTGAATGCTTATATTTTCTAAATATGTGCATGCATGTCTGCATTGTTTTCTTGCAAGTATTCAAAATGACCACTTTTGCCTCAGAAGAAATCATAGCACCTACTACTTTTCTAGCTTAAACGTGCTATATATTAACAGTTCAAATTTGTGCCTTAGGAAACCACAGAGCTAATGCAAACAGCTAAATATTTAACAAGGAAGAATGCATCACCCAGAGCTCATCTTTATTAAATTCCAAAGACATTGAATTCTCTCTGAACAAATGAGCTAAATGTTTAATAATTTCAATACATGTCCAACACTGTGGGAGTGGGGGAGGAAATCCAATCAAGAATTCACTACAAGTTTGCTTTCAAAATTAAAGAAAAATGTTCTTCAAGCTTAAAAAAATATGTAAAGGCACTAGAGCAGTCCCTGCTCTCGACCAATAAGAAAATGCAATTAAATGAAAACAATATCTTTACAGTGACATGTTTTCAGTAGTTTTCATATAGTTGCATGAATAGCTTAAGTGCAGGATTTCACTTTATATGATTTTTTTAACCTTCCACAATGTATATTTCTTTTGAAAAAAGTAAAACTACACCAAAACTTTTAAAATTAGTTTTAAGGAGAATTTTCAGACATTGAAATTGAGACGTTAGTGGTTGTTAAGTTTAAACGGACTTTGAGCAATCAGGCCACATACAGATAATTATAGATACGAGAATGTGTCAGGAAATTTCTTTTTTGAAGAATCTGCTTGTACCAATAGACTGACTTCAAGACTACTTTAGTCAACTTGGGCACCCACACAGAAAATACCTCTTATCAACTCTACAGGAAGTGAATTTTCTGTGAAGTTTGCCATTTCCAAATGCCTAAGAGATTTATGCCTCTCGGTTCTCCTAAGAGTCTACTTTAATTCATTATATGCTGGTTAAAAAGGGGTAAATTATTTCGAGTTTACCTATGCCTTGGACTTGAGCCTGAGTTGATCCCAAGCCAGAGGCGCTCACAGCTGCATGCTTTATTTACAATCCCTTTGTCAGACTTACAACTGCCCCAGGCTATAACATAGTGTACCTAATGTTCAAACTGCCAGGTAATCTTATGTCAAACATACTTCTTTGATTTAAAGTGATCAATAGATTCTTGTAAAGAGGTAATTTCTCTGATGTTTCCACCTTGCCTTTTTTACAGGTGATTCACACAAAAGCCTGCTTATATGATGTACGAACAATAAACAGAAAGCTATAATCATGTTTTTTCAGATGTTTCCGGTGCACAACGATTTGGGATCGATACACTGTGTAATACAATTATCTGCAATGATCTGGTTGTATTGAAAAAGAATTTGCAGGAAACCTCTGGGGGTTTTTGTCCAGAGACACGTATCCACCAACGTTGTGAATGGTGGGAGGACATATTAAGGGGTTGACAAAGGCTGTCTATTAGGGACCCAGTGACACCACTAATGTTTTAGTTCACAGAAGTATTATCACTAGCCGAACAATAACTCAAAGGGAATAGTAATAATAATAATGGCCAGGGCTCATAGTGTTTATTTATATGGGAAAGAAAACCTTAACAAACGTGGACTTTGCAGAGATTCAGTGTCACCTGAATATCAGGTAGCACAGATTATAAGCAATATTATTTATGGGCTCAGTGAAATAAATTATCTTGCTTCTATCATAGCTAAATTAGGTAAATGCTAGGGTCTGTGAAATACGTTGATGTGTCTTCAACTACTTTTTTAGCTGGAATGGTCCAATTCTAGAGTGATGATCAATTTGAACTCTTTAAGAGAGCACTGCACCATAAGCCCTTTCCCCAAGCTCTTTCTTTATTTTTTTTTCTTTTTTTCCCCAAGTGAAGATTTGCAGGAGACCTCTGGGAAAGAGCTAAGGTGGTACCGCCTGTATCCAAAAGACATTCTACATTTTCCGTGGAGATGTCTGTGCGTGGCAACAACCCAGATCTGTTTGTGTGGCTCCCCTAAGACACCGACTCCGCACAGCGCCTACCTCGCGGCCTGCAAAGAGCCAGGCTTCCTCTTTGAGCCTCTCCTCACAGCTCCCACCTGTCAGGCGCGGCCTGATTCCCATTCCCGTGAAGAGCAGGCTTTGGGGTGAGCTGGTGCCTGGCACAGAGGCGCTCTCTGCGGAGTCTGCAGGTGTCCCCCTGAGGCCTGGGCCTGCTCTTCCCCTCCCACCTCCCTGCACATCCCGGACACTTGCTCTCTGTCTCTTGACCTCACCGTCAGGCCGCCTCACCGCACCCTCTGTGGCTCTGCCGGCTGCACCTGCCTGCAGGGGGGCAGCCCCTGCCTCCTTAGAAGGCCCCAGCCCTGGCAGCAGCCTGTGAAGGCAAGCAGCATTCCGCCAGTGCCTTTCATGGTGCACGTTTTAGAGTGCGTCCTGCTATTTTGGGCTGAGGATCCTGGAGATTATACGGCCCCTCATTAGCAACTGGGTCAAGTATCCACATCTTTTCTGGGATCAAAACCTTAAAGGGACTTGCTTTCAAAAAAAAAAAAAAAGAAGAAGAAGAAGAAGAAGTCAGTTGGAAGGAAGACTCCCCATTAGCCTAAATGCAGCGTTAATCAATAGATGAAAGTTCAAAGGCTAAAGAAAACATTTCCCATGATTCCCGGGGAATTAAAAAGGAGACGAGTAGGCTCCAAATGAATTCTTTCTCTTTAAAATGTAAAGAGGAATTTAATGAATACAAAAAGTGCATTTAATCTCTATGAGGTACCACCTGTAGAACGCTTTCATGCGGCTCCAAAGCAAACTGGCCTAATATGACCTACAGGAAAATCCCTCCCCGTAAAGGTAATTATGATCCCCTGGTGACGTCCCCACAGCACCTCAGCTAATTAGCTTCAGGGGAACACCATGTTTGTCACTTTCTTCTTCAATCTTATTATCTTTCTAACACACCGTGTCTCCGCTTTAAATCTGCGTGAGGAAAGACACGAAATAGAATGGGAGACTAAATTAATAAATGAATGTGCTCCTTCAAAAGAAAACTCACTAAGCATTCCCGGTGCTATTTTCATATCCCTCAGTACGGTAGGTATTCCTGCCTGGGTGGTTTTCATTTTTGTTGCAGTTTTTTGTTTGTTTGTTTGTTTTCTGGCTCCGTGCCACACCTTGACTCTCTATCATGCTCCATCATGCTTCTTTTAATCTGAATATTTAGTGTTCTTTCATGTCTTAATTACAGCAAATTGCGGCACAGTTGGCACCATTTCTTGAAATTAATCCCAGAGTACTTTGTTTCTGTCAAGCAGTGAAAGCCTCGGAGAATAATAGTAAATGTTATTGCAGATCTAAATTTAAATGACTGTCTATGTATTTAACTTAAGCCTTTAATTACTCGTGCCGCACTGTTTTTGGTTCAAATGTTAAACATTACTCATTGAGAATGTGGAATGACTGTAGGCAGCTTAAACCCTGAAGATATGTTTGGCTCTAATTTGAACAAAACAGTTATTTATTTTAAAGTATTTTCTCAGATGTGGAAAACCCAGGAAATGCCATGTAATATCTTCTTATGGTCATATATTTCAGTATTTCATTACTTCCATCATTATTAATAAAAGGCATGGATTTAGGTCCATTCGATTCTAAATGGCTTTTCCCTTACGAACTGTTAAATTCAAAACCAGACTCAAGAATGTCTTGGTATCACTATTGCCAATAGCCTTTAAATAATTCAAGACAATGA